AGACACGCAGACACGCAGACACGCAGACACGCAAACACGCAGACACGCAGACAGAGACTCGCAGAGATAAAGAAACACAGAGACACAGAGACACAGAGACACAGAGACACAGAGACACAGAGACACAAACACACAAACACACAGACACAGACACAGACACAGACACAGACACAGACACAGACACAGACACAGACACAGACACAGACACAGACACAGACACAGACACAGACACAGACACAGACACAGACACACGCACAGACACAGACACACGCACACGCACACGCACACGCACACGCACACGCACACGCACACGCACACGCACACGCGCACGCACACGCACACGCACACGCACACGCACGCGCACGCGCACGCGCACGCGCACGCGCACGCGCACGCGCACGCGCACGCGCACACGCACACGCACACGCACACGCACACGCACACGCACAGACACACAGACACACAGACACACAGACACACAGACACACAGACACACAGACACACAGACACACAGACACACAGACACACAGACACACAGACACACAGACACACAGACACACAGACACACAGACACACAGACACACAGACACACGGACACACAGACACACAGACACACAGACACACAGACACACACACACACAGACACAGACACAGACACACACAGACACACACAGACACACACAGACACACACAGACACACACAGACACACACAGACACACACACACACACACACACACACACGAACCCACACACGCACACACGAACCCACACACACACACACACACGAACCCACACACACACGCACACACACACACACACACGCACACACCCACACGCACACACACACACATTGCAGAACTTGTGGTTTTGAACTTTCACGGATGCTTCATGGGCAACTTGGCGGGACGGTTCATTTCAGGGTGGACGGTTAACTGTTTTGATGGGCAAAAGGGTTCGCAGGGTTGTAAAGCTGTTTTCCATGCTTTGAGTTGGTCATCACAACGACGGAGCCCGCAGCCGCATCAGTGCTGGCTCGCAGATGTCCGCGAATGCCCTTGGCCAGCGCGAGTTTGCCAAGTTTTTCATGCTCGACATGCAGAGTCCGCAACGCTAAACTGACGAACTTGTAAGCGCTTTTCCCTCTTGTTTGGTTTGCGATGCTAGAAGCGTTTATGACCGAATCATGAAGATTGAGTCCTCTGGTCTGCGGATGGAAGAGCGAAGAACAGCGATTGAGGTACTTGGCATCAAGGAGAGACTGAAACAGGTCAATGTGGGTTTGTGTTGGGTAGCGCTGGTCGGGAACTTGCCTCAGCGAAACCCTGAAACACCAGGCGTGGTCTTTGTGTTGTGGGATCTGGCCTCACAAATGAGTCAAGCCAACAAACCTGTGAAAATTTGAAGGGCCATTGATTTTTGCAAGGTGTGTTCATTCAGTCCGCAGCCTGTGACAAAACAGCTGCGCTCATTTTCTTGATCATTGACATCCTTTGCCACTTGGAGAAGCTGGAGAGAGATCCAATCCTTACTTGTCCTTGGGACTTATTCGCATGGGGGGGGCGATTGCGGTGTCCCAAGCAGAGAGCCACGCAACAATTCAGGCACCCCTGCAACCCACCAAAAGCGTTTTGTACGAGCTGCATTGACCTTGACTCAGTATGCGCCCCTTAAGCAATCTGGCTACGCAGCGCTCGCTCTGTTGGTACAAAAAACATGGCCTGGGCGAACGCGGTCTGTGTGCTAAGGGTGCATTTCTGGCATGTTGTCTCACTTCCTGAGTGGGTCGACCAGAAAAGTACAACTTTTGTTTACCACTCAAATTGCTTCAAAAAGCATAAACTCCAGGAACTCAGTGAGTGAGTTGTTGTACGCCTTCTGCGCACCTTCGGCTGGCCTCCTGAAGTGTAATGCGCTTCTGGAAACTCGTTGGCCATACACAATGCATATTCCACAGGCGGTGCGAAACGTCAGGCGCCCATGCACAATGATATGCGCCTGCTCAGCGCAAGCTCAATATGTCTGGCAAAAACTCGTTACAGTCGTACAACAAACCTTGTTTCTTCTTTAACTCACACACATGAGGAGAACAAAAGTACATGCTTCTTACTGGACTCTGCAAAGCCGTGTGGAAACACCAATTCCAACTTCGTTTTGCTTGGCAAGAGCGATGGTCAATTACACAGCTGCAGCTTTCGGGCGCCCAGTTTTTTGGAGCGCGCCATGCCCGCCCGCCACACAATGCGCCAGGCAGTCGGTGGCCTTCATGACATGAGCTCTGAAGGGTCAACCCTGACATCGTGCGGACTCAAAGCCTTGGAGGTGCTGTCGGCAGCTCGGCAGCTCCTTCAAAGCCAAGCGGGCCCCGGCCAGCTGGCCAAGGCCTCAGGTCAGTGAAAGCTAAGATGGTAAGACTTGCTTTTAAGTTTTTTAGTTCTGTAAATCTTTAGAAATGGACAATTTCCACGACACAAGGAGCGGACTTGGAAGCGTGCTGGCGGCATGAATCCTTTGCGGATTTTATGGGGGTCGGTTTTGAAAAGCACTGTTTAGCAGTTGTCAATTCGTTTGCGCGAGCCCCTGCGAACTTTGTGTTTAGCAAACTCCCGAACTAGCTTTGAAACGCCGAACCAGCTAGCTGCGACTGCAAGCAGTCAGGCTAACAAACTAGGTAGCTACTGGCTAACTGGCAAACTCTCACAAGCTAAACGGCTAACAAGCCATTGGCTAGCCAGCACGCTGAACAGTTACCCGATTGGCTACCCAACAAACATGCAAAGAATATGACTGGCTGCCTACCTACTAACCAGCCAACAAGCAGACTAGATAAGCCTCACGAGAACGAACACAAACTAGAAAACTGGCTCGCTAGCTAGCTAGGTAGCCAGACATAGAAAAGAACAAGTCAGATAAACCAAACTAAACTAAGCTACACGAACTAAACCCCCCCACAGCCTCACACCCGGAAAAAGCCACCTCAGTTACCAGAGCACTGGTTCCAAGCGAATCAATCTAAGGTCAAGAATCCACGTGCATTGAATCCCACTCCTCACGCGCTTTCGTCACGAAAACCCAAACCAGGTTCTATCACACAGGTTTTAGCTTGCACCAAAAGACAATCACGTTTGTAGCTTTTATTGGATTCTATTGAGACATAGGCGGCAACACAAAGTGCGCCCTCAGCTGATGCTTCTGGCTGGTCATCTCATCTCTCTCCCTCTCTGTCTGTCTCTCCCTCCCTCTCTCCCGCCCTCCCGCCCGCCCGCCCTCCCTCCCTCCCTCCCTCCCTCCCTCCCTCCCTCCCTCTCGCTGTCTCTTGCTCTTGACGCCTCACCGCGCAGGACCACATGTGCGCCACCCGCGTGCCAGTTAAGCTTGCAAGGTCTCATGTGCGAAATTCATTGCAGCTCAAGCACACCCTTCCGGCGCCAACAAAAAGCCTAGAGCCAGACGCCTACAGCGCAGCCAAAGTCCAGAAGGACAGCCTGCGTGCGCGTGCGCGGCCCAGTGTTGCGGAATGTGGCAAGCTGACACCTGAGTTGCGCGCCATCAGCGTGCCGCGCAGCATGTCCAAAGCAGACGGCGTCTGCTGGAAGTTCGTGATCGGCTCCTCCCGATGAGCAACTTCGCCGCCGTCCCCAAGGTCAGGCCTGCGTCAACCACCTTCGTCGCGTGAGGGTGGTGCGCAACTGACAACAAGTGCAGTTCACGGGAGGGCTCCAAAGTGAGGCGGCGCATCCAAACAGGGCCAGCCTTTGGATTTTCACGACCGTGGGCGGCGGCAAGGGCTGCAGAACACGTGCTGCCAACTAGCTTGAGTCAGTACCCTGAAAAAGGCTAGACGACGGGTGGCCTTTCATGACCCGTGCGAGGGGCTGCTTGTTCTTCCATTCCAAGCATAAACCCACCACGCTTAAGACAAGAGTCCCTGCGCCAGGTTGTCAGCACATTTTCTCTGCCCAATTTCCCCTGGTTCAAGTTTCTTTGCGCAAGTTTCTCTGCACCATTCTCTGCGCAAGTTTCTCTATCGAAGTTCTGTCTGCGCAAGTTCTCCTCGCACGCCTTTTCCTGCGCAAGTTTTGGTTTCTCTGTCTGCGCAAGTTGCTCTGCGCAAGCTCCTCTGTGAAACTTGTGTTTGCCAAGGTTCTCCGCGCAAGGCTTCTCTGCGCAAGTCTTCCCCGCGTTGGTGTCTCTGCACAAGTTCTTTGCGCAAGTTCTCCGCGAACGCTTCCCCGTGCGAACTATCTGCGCAATCTAGTGTAAAGTTCTCTCTGCGAGTTTGTCTGCGCGAGTCCTCGACACAAGCTTTGTCTGCGCAATTTGTCGGCGCATTTTTTCTGCGCAAGTTGTTGCGCACGTCTCTCCGCAAGCTTCCTTGCAGCTATCTTTGCGCAAGTTCGGCCTGCAAGTCTCAGACACGTCTTCTTCAACGCAGGTGCCAGGGCGCAAGCAGCTTGGCACATGCTCTGCGCGCTACTTTTGGCCTGGAAAAATGGCGGTTTTCGAGCTGGGGCTGCGGGGGCGCAACTCACACGCAACTTTGTTTTGGACTGAATAGCCGCAAGTTTGGAGCGAAAACCCAGCCTTTGTTCACAGTGGTCTCTGCCAAGGAAGGTGACATGAGTCCGGGCCTGCGGGTGCAAACTGCGTGGGGGCGAGGGCAGGTCTTTCCCTAAAAGATGCCTCACACTGCGTTGCAGGTTTCTACGTCATGTCAATTCAAAGGAACTGAACGCCCTGCGGAAGAGCCACAGCTTGTTGGCACTAGCCTTGCAGCGCCCGCAGTGAACTTCTTGCCCGGCAAAGCGCAAGCGCCCGCAAAAGCTGTGCGCAACACTGGCTTGCAGGTGAGCAGCCAAGAAGACCAATCAAAGAACTCGAGCCCTGTTGCGTTGAAGGACTTCAGCGACGCAACCAAAGGCAGGAGCGCTTCAACCCCAGCGCCTGGCTTAAGATTGGCCGGAGCGGTCCAAAAGGGCGAGCCATAAATGCAGCGAGATTTCCAACAGCACGGGGAAGCGTGCTTTGCCAGTTTGCAATATCCCCGCGCGACCTTTTGCGTGGATCTGCGTGGGCCATGCGCGACAAGCCAGCGCGTGTTTCGCGAATAGTCTCCGGAGGTTGTCTCGCAGCTTGCGCGCCGGTGCTCTGAATTGACGGGGGCCCAGGTAGGGCTTCGCCCTTGGTCCGCGAGCAGGTTTAAGCACAGCCTCCGCTGCTTATGCAGCGCAAAAGTTGCGCGCGAAGCCCATTTGCAGCTCCAGCAAAACTGCAACTGCTGAGCGCAACAGTTCTGCTCCCGCAGCTGGTTGCGAAAGCAAAAGACAGGCAGGCCTCTCCGCAACCGAAGAGGAGCTACATTGGGATGAAGGTTTCTCAGATATGAAGGCCTTGTGAGGCTCATGGCCTTGACCAAGCGCGCGCTGCTTTAAAGAAATGGCTTGTTCTCCTCCGCAGTTTGGCTATGTGGCCTGGCACCACAGCTGACCTGCTCAGAGCAAAGTGCGTGTGGACCGGACAAGAACTCTGGTTGCCGGCACCTTGCGGCATCGATGTTTGCGCGTCGCAGTGTTGACTGCAGACTTTGTTTGGCTGTTTGGGCATGTTCCAGTTGTTTGCCAGCGCGTTCGCAGCGTTCCCACTTGCAAGCAAAAGCTTGTTTGGGGGATGCTGCGCCGTGACGTTGGTGAGGCTGGCATTTTAGGGCTGCAACGTCCAAGCGTGAAAACTGCCCCTTCATCAGCAACCGGCCCAGGTGCTCGAAGAGCCTGGGCTGCAGCAGTTGAGCTGCTAGAGTGTTGCTGCGTCAGTTTTCCGGGTTCTTCGGGCGATTTGTTTTGGATGGGGGCCTGGAAAAGCAGATTTCAAGGTTGCACTGCTTCAGCGCTGCTTTGCTGATGCTTTTAGAAGGGAACCTAAGCTTTGAGCTTTTCTGCGCTTAGACCATTTTCAGAGCCGCTTGGCCGAAGTTGGTCAGCCCCTTCCGGACGAGGCCCTTGAGTGTGTGATGTATTTTTGGCTGAAAGCTGCCTCCTCCAGCATTCGGCAAAATTGTTGACTTCGGCAGGGCCGTAGGGGAATATTGCGCGCGATAGGTGTTGTTAACATCTCTGGTTAATTTTCAGAGTATCGTTCACCACCAGAACTGCACGCAGTCGATTTTTGCTTTGAAGATCACTGCCGTCAACACTCTGCGAACATGCTCGTCAACGTTTGCGTGAAAGCACACTGTCACGCTAATTCTTTCGGGCCTGCGCCCTTTCAATATCATTTGTTGCAGACTCAGGGCCATTGCTGACCCAAAGCCTCGGCCTGAGCAAACCCGCGCCATCTGCGCCAAGCGTGCGCGAGTGCTGCCTTGCCACGAATTCGTAAGAGACGCGCGCTGGGTCTGAAATTGTAAAGGGGGGCGGGAATTGAATCCATCGCAAGAAGGGGGTCTAACTGAACCCCCTAATGACAAATTCCTGCAGAAGATCTGGACCTGTGCAGAGATCCATATCACAAAATCTCTCAAGCACGAACACCCAGTCCAACGAAACCTATCTACCATCCAGATCACTGGCGCGTAGAGGTGCAATATCCGCCACGCCCCTGAGCGCGCCCGCGCAGAAACTTGTGTAAATGACATCCTCCACGCCCGACACACCCGCACAGAGACCCGTGTAACAAAAATCCATAGCGCAGAGCAGACGCACGCAGAGACACGATACTGCTAAATATCAAGGCTCGTTACACGGGTGGGGACTGTTTACATGCGTCCGTGCACAGGTTTGTAAGCTGCGCCGGGAGCGTGCGCAGATTCCCCCTAGCCCCCCCACCAGCGCGCACCTGTGACGAGACCCGTGTGACCAACCCCCGTTCCCAGCACTCCGACACGCAGCAAAAACCTTCTACCCAAGAGCATGATTGCGCAGAGATTCTACAGCCTGCTACGCTGGATGTCTAGGGGGGAAGGGTGCCATTTCGGCCGTACCTCCCCAAGCGTGCTGCAGGGAATCTGTTTGCACACCGCTTTGCTCCTGGCGCCTGCGCGCGTTCAGCTGCGCGAACGAACAAGCAGGAGGGAGGCCACTTTGGCCGTACCTTCCCGCCATCGCCCGTCGTTGGCCCACGAGCCCTTTGGGCGCAAGAGTCGGGTTTGGCAACGTGAGCGCTCGCTTCTCGCGTATCCGCATTTGGCAACTATGTTGCGGTTGACTTGGATGGCGCGGCTGTTGAACTCCTGAAATTCGGACAAGGAAGCCATGGCAACTAATATTCTTTTCTAAGCTCACTAAGGAACTGATGAGCCAACAAAGCTATATACGAAAGCCACGGATTGCGCGCTCACTTTTTTCCTTAAATGATCGCATAGTGCGAACACATGCGCGCAACTGAAGACATTGAACGCGAAGCTCTGTTTATGGCTGGGAAGGTTACCTGCAAATCCCCATTCATCTGGTCTTTGCTGTTTTCATCTCTGAAACCTCGGTACAAGTGGCCGTTGGTAAAATGCAGGGCTCTGCGACAAGAAGCGTCTCAACACCATGCGCTGGCGGGACAAAACAATGACCCCCTGCAAACGTCAAACCCCCTACAGCCGCGGATAATTGTGGTGATGTTGAGTAGAACACCTCCCAGCAATCATCTCCAGAACCACGCCAACAAGCAAACAAACGAGGGTTACAAAGAACAGCAATAACCAGAGATCAAGCGGATAGACGGACAAACGGGTGCACAATCGAATAAACAAACAAACAAACAAACAAACAAACAAGCCAGCCAGCAAGCAAGCCAATATAAACAACACACAAACACCACCGGGAAGAAATCGTCCAGGCCACCGGTCTGACTCGAGATAGTGCCTCGCCACCTGGCGGGGCTGAGGATTAGCCCGCCGCCTGCCAAGACCGAAACATGGCACAAAGCTTTGCGGCTGGTAATTGGGCCGTCGCCAACACTGAAACATGGCTCGCGACTTGGTCGCCTTTAATGCCACGGGACATCATCCGCAGTCAAACCAAAAACGACAACGACAACACACATGTAGGATGAAGGACCACAGCCGTCCTGCAAATGACCTGCGCGCAAACAAGCCAGACTGGCACTTGGTGGTGTCTGTCGGTGTTTCCTCCAGCTGCAACGCCCGTTGAAAGCTCTGCTGGGCCTGGGCCGAGCCACTTCCGCTCGAGCAACGTTTGTAGCTCACTTCGGTGATCAAAGGAAGTTTAGTTAGACAACTTCCGTAATACGAAAAGTTGGTCACAATAAGAAGATAGAGTTGGTCAGAACCAGAAGATAGAGTTGATCAGAATCACGAAGATTGCCTCTGTTCAGCGTGCGGGTTCGCCACGGGCTCGCCACGGGATTGAAAAGTTCCCCATTGGCACGGCCGCGCAGACTGTTTCGGAGGTGCAAATCGCGCGCCAGGCGCAGCACTTCCTGAGGTGCAGATTTCGTGGCAGGCGCAGCATTTTGGGCCCGTGCAAGGTCAAGTACAGATTTCGTGGCAGGCGCGGCATTTTCGCACGGCCGAGTACCGGTTTCGTGGCAGGCGCAGCACTTTCGCAAGGTCAAATGATAGATGCACAGATAGATCAAATGGGAAGAGAGAGAGAGAGAGAGAGAGAGAGAGAGAGAAAAAAAAAGAGAAAGACAGAGACTGAGCTGCAAAACGCGTGGCACGCGCGGCAATTTGGCAACCTGAGGTGCAAACCGCGTGGCGGGCGCAGCGTTTTGCAGCCATGCAAGTTCAAGTGCAGATTTCGTGGCAGGCTCAGCACGTTCGCAAGGTGAAGTACAGACTTCGTGGCAGGCGCAGCATGTTCGCAAGGTCAGGTGAGAGATTGACAGATAGAAAGCTCGAGTAGAGAAATAAAGCGAAAAAAGGAAAGAGAGAGAGAGAGAGAAAGACAGAAACAAACAAACAAACAAACAAAGAAAGAAAGAAAGAAAGAAAGAGAGAGAAATAATGAAACGAGAAGAGAAGGCAGGAGCAGATCAGAAAGAGGATGAGAAGGAAAGAGAAGAAAATAAAAATAGAAGGGAAAAGGAGCGAGGTAAGTTACGGGTACTGTTACTGACGTGGGAAGCAGACGGCGGTTGCGTTCTCAGTGAGTGTTGCATTTGCATTTGCACGCGTGGCCGCAGCCGTTTGTAAGCTTGAACTAAGACAAGGCTGCAGTTTCACACACAGACATCACACACCCTACGCACACACATACGCTCGGTAGACAGTCACACACGCGCTGCAGACTGTCACGCTTCACACACACACAACTACAGCAAAACACCCCTAAGAGCAAACCACACACGTGTATTAGACGCCTCTCTCGCGAGCGTGCCAGTTCAGGCCACTCGCCATGGTGTCACCTGAGAAGTTGGCAGATTGAGAGCTATCTGGAAGAACACCCTGAGCAGCTGTGCGCACAGAAGGCGCAGCAACTGTATCCGCACCACTTTTCGCGTGGCAAGAAGCCGCAGTCCCAGCGGCATTTGTCTGATGCAAGACAAGAAGCTCGCGCACGAGAGCTAGAAGCTTGTATTTAAGTGACCCTGCGCGTGCTTGCCACGCCGAAGAGCTGCGCGCCTATGCGCAGCCGTCGCTTTAGGCTCTAAGCAACTTGCCAGAGAGGAAGATCCGTCCCATATTGGGCAAAATTTACAATTTTCGGCGCGGTTGGGAGAAATTATTTCCTAAGCAGCAGCAGCAATTCAACATGTGGTTTCCAGGCTGAAGTGGATGCCACTGGCTGGCTGACCACGCCAAAGAGCTGCGTGCCTATGCCCAGCCGTCAATTCAGGTTCTGGGCTGCTGACATGCGGCGAAAGCATTGGAAAAAACCCAAAAATTTTGCCGTGCTTGGGAGCACTTGTCTCCTGAGCAGCGGCAGCAGGTTGACATGTGGGAAGCTATCATCTGCGGCAAGGCGTCGGAAGACCAGCCGCGCTTCCACGCTCAAGTGGCTGGCTTGACCACGCCGCAGAGCTGCGTGCCTATGCCCAGCCCTCTGAACAATTCACACGCGACGAAGGCAAGCCGGCCAGCCTACAGCAATGCATGCTTGTCATGCGGCTGCGAGAAGACACTCTGCCGCGCGTGGTTGCAAAACCCATAGTCGACCTTGACAATAACGACCAGCCGCCCCTGGCTTGCTTCCAGGCGCAGCGCTGGAAGATTGTGCCTCTGCAGGCGTGCTGGGGCTGGCCAGGAGCTACCGCGGGTCCTCGCCGGAGTTTCTGCACATGACGCTGCGTTCTCGAACGAAGCGCTTGAGAGATGAGCTTGCGTGCCCAAGAAACGCAGCAGCTTCTGGCACGGGGCCTCCTTGATGCTCATGTCCGGTGCGCCAGTTCAGGTCACTGGCTGCCACTGCGAGCGTTCGCTATCTTAAAGCCTGAGCTTGCGCCAGTGCAGGTACTAGACTTCAAACCTGAAGAAAGATATAAAATTTCTAGGCGTGTCAGCGCAGTAAGAGCATGGAGAAGCTGTACAATTGATGCCGGCAGAGAGATAAGTCTTGACAAAGCGCTGCGCCGTCGTGCCGTGGCAACTCGTGCGCTTCTGCTTCTGCCTTTGTGCGTGGGGCCTCACCGAGCGTGCTTTGACTGCCACTGGGAGTGTTTGTTATCTTAAAGCCTGAACTTGCGCCAGTGCAGGTACTAGGCTTCAAACCTGAGGAAAGATACAAAATTTCTAGGCGTGTCAGTGCAGTTAGAGCAGGTCCAGATCAGATGGGGAAGCTGTACAATTGATGCTGCCAGAAAGATAATGACAAAGTGCTGCGCCGCAACTCGTGTACTTTTTACTTCTACTTGTGCGCCACTTTCTCCGTCCAGATGAGATGGCGCGCCAGTACAGTCGTCCTTGCCAGCGCAAGCGCTGTGCTGTGTAGTGAGTCAGTGCCAGTGCCAGCGCACTGCCAGTGCAGATGCAGAAACAAGGCGTGTCCTGTCCACACCACCAGACCCGAGGTAAACAAACAAAGCTTCGTTGAATCCGGGCCGTTCTATGCCTTCCCCCCCCGCCCCGGGTCAAGGCTCGGGACGACTCCTGCTGTCTTGGTGCATGTGCAGTGTCACAATATTAGACTCAAAATTAAAGAAACCCAAGCGACCAGGTTTCGGTAGGGCGATCCCTGTCTTGAATCCCCCTGTTTTGGCGCCCCCCCCGTTTGTTGAGGGGTTGCATCCGGAGCCTGAAAGTCGCATGGGATGGGATTGTCTTTTGCACACAGTGTGTTGAGGCCAAAGATACACTCTTGCGGCAGGCGATGGCTTTTTTGATTTTGCTCTGGGCGCTTTGAGACCCTCCTCAAATTGAAAAGGAAACATTTCGGGAGAGGAGAAATAAAGAAAAAAAAGACAGAAAGAAAGACAGAAATAAAGAAGGAAGGAAAGAAAGAAAGAAAGAAAGAGCGGGGGAAAACAAACAAGCCGAGCTCTTCCTGTAGGCAGTCTTCTCGCTTTAGAAACTTCCGCCCAATGGCTCCGCCGGCTCTACTGGTGTGCGGACGGTCCAACCGTTCGTCTCTTGGAAGGCTTGTGAGTGGGAGGCCCAGTAAACACGAAGGTGGCGCAGCCCATCTCATGTTGCGCACAAAATGCAACATCTGTCCATCACGACATGAGTCACTCACCTGAACGGAGAAATCCACAAGGGACACCCTCATGCTTGAGCGCGGCTTGCCCTCAAAAATCGGAGTAGTGCAGAATGGACTTTGTTCGTACTCAGAACTTCACAATGAGTTGGCAGAATGGGATATGGAACCAGGGTCTCAAAGCGAATCATTTTTACCAAAGCAACGACATGACAACACGAAACCCTTCTCTCCGCGCTATTTAAATATATGGAACAACCGAGACAAAGGACCTGCGTTGCTCTGGGCACCGCGTCTTTTTACAGGCCTCTCGAGAAACCAAAATGCTAGCTGCTGGCACGGCGTGGGAACCCGCTGCATTCGTGGAACCGCAAACAGCAAGCACAAACCCCTGAATCAAGCACGCCTCGCGGGTAGCCAACTGTCTGCAGGGGTTGGGATTAATTCGGGGGCTAGGAAGCCTTGCTCTTCCCTGCAGCTCACACGGCTTGGTCTTGTCGAATCATTGCACAATGTTTGGCCGGAGCCATGCGCTGATGCCAGAAACATTATGACAGCTCCGCTCTGTCTTTCCCCCTCTCTCTCTTACAGCAGAACACAATCCAAAATTCGTTTGAGGCACACAGCGTGCTGTATCCGAGTCAGCTCTAAACATGAGCGACCGATTGCACCAACGCATGCTACACTTTACATGTTCTCCGTTGCACACTACACATCACACGCTACGCAGCACCGCCTTAGAAGCAGCCCAGCAAGCTGCAAGCAAGGGACGCAATGAACAACACAGTGTTGGAGAGCGAACAAGAACCATTGCATTTCATTGTTGGGTCAGAAATGCACCCACAACAGTGTTCTGCGTCGCGCACGCGCCGCATCTGACATCAAATTGTCTGTCAGCAGTTGCTCAGGCAGCACCATGTTAGTGATCCACAAGTGCAACCACTCATTGTCTGAGCCCCAACCCTGCAGGGCAGCTATCTGCAAAGGTAGCAAACTTCAACCAGGCTAAAATAAACGTGCTGGATTCCGCTTCCCACATAGGCGACTGGCCTCCAAAGCCATACCAGCTTGAAGCCTCACAATACGCGAGAAAATTGCACAGCCTGCGCCATAGTTGTAACACAATGCTTGTGGCATAGGATGCTTGCATGTGGCTTCCATGAGATGACCCAAAGCACTGCCACCCTGTTGAGGTCTCTGTGACCGCCACACATTGCTCAACGGCTGACCGGGTGAGTCTTGGCCCTGCTGTCAACAAACCTGTAGCAAGAAAAACAGATCTGACAAAAACAGCTGTTGACGCCTAGCGTCCCATGTCTAGATCCACTCCGAAACCATTGGCCCGTCGTGCCTGGCAAAGCCCAAGAAACCTGGGCAATGCCAAAGCTGAACGGTGCAAAGGCTGAAGGCTAGATGCACGCAAAAGGATTTGCAGGCCGCAATGCCACAAAATGCTGGCAAACCAAAGCTCATTGACAGAGTCACAACCGTAACACAAATATGAGCTGTCTTGCTTTCCCTGTGCTGCCAGCAGGTTGCATGCGAAAACAATCAACTCTTGGCCGAGCAGTTTCTCCCTCCAGGGCATTGCCATTTACCGGTTGTCTGTGAGGAAGCATGTCACCCTTCCCTTTTGTGAGGTGGAAACTGGCGCTTGGTGCAATCAGATTTTAAGCGAGCCACCATGGGCTTTCGGCGAGGACGGTGCGAGCTCGGCCGCCTTTTGAAAATACAGCTCCTGTAGACAGCTTTGTTCTGAGACCACAGGTAACGGCTTCAAACAGGCGTGTGGTGGTTTTGTCTCAACATGGGTTCTGCCGCCAGCTGCCAGGACACCGGGTCACAGGGAAAACAAAATAAGTGACGCACACGTCATCTCGGGTTTGCTGAAGAGGCAAGCGCCTGTCGCTGTTGATGACGCGACAACGACAACGACAACGACAACGACAACGACAACGACAACGACAACGACAACGACAACAACAACGACAACGACAACGACAACGACAACGGCAACGGCAACGGAAACGGTGACGGCAACGACAACGACAACGACAACGACAACGACAACGACAACGACAACGACAACGACAACGACAACAACAACAACAACAACAACAACAACAACAACAACAACAACAACAACAACAACAACAACAGCAGCAGCAGCAGCAGCAGCAGCAGCAGCAGAGACACGACAGCAGCGGACATGGCAGCGCAGATATGCAGCAGCGGCCGAGCGAGGGTGGCAGCAAGCAGCTTCAAAAGGAAAAAGGAAGGCCGGGAAAGAAATAAAAACATAGTGAGGGAGAGGAAGCGACTTTGGCAAAGTGTCGCTTGCAACACGTGACGACAAACGTCACTGCTCACCAATCTACGCTTCTCAGCGCTTACACTGCCCCAAGCATGCGTCGGTCCATTCAGGCAACGATGCAAAGACCCCTAGAGTAGCCACCCATCAATCGCCCGCTCCGCCAGCGCTGGAGACTGTCCCTGGCGCAGCAAGCGGAAGGCCTGCCAGAAGCACAAGGCCTTCGTGTCAATGGGACATGACGGACACAGTCTAGTTGGACTCTGCTTTTTCAGGATGCATGCATTTTGAGACAGTTCGGGTAGTCGTTAAAAACATCTATGCGCTGCACACAGGCGCCGCAGCCTTGTCGGACAAGCATGTGGAGAACTTCCTGGGCTTGCGGCGGTCTCAAAAAAGGTCTTGGCTGGCCCGACGAGCCTAGCTGTGACACCGGTCGTCTTGTTGGCGCACTCAACTTGATTTCGGATGTGAATCTTGCTTCGATGAAAAGTTTAACTCTCCGACTCGGAACGCATGGTCGGTGGCGCAGAACATATTCTAAGACTGCCGCAAAGCGCATACATGGAAAAGCGCCAACGGCGTGGCTGAAACAAAGAGCCTTAACCAAAGAGCTGCGTAACCTGCACACACGTGCGTGTTTCGCTAATCTGTAATCTACCGACGCGCCTGGTCCAGAATGGGTCTGTTTTCTATAAGTTTAACGTAGATGTGTGCCCCCTGAAACGGCAAAATACCTTGGCTGGGTTTCTGGATTTCTCGATTCCGGATTCCTCCTCATTCCCCTCCCCCTTGCCCCCCGCTGGGATTGGTTTTCCAAGTGATTGACCTTTCTGCAATCCACGGCAAGCACGCTCCGTTGCCACCTTGGGTCCTTCTGGTGAGAATCATTGTGTTCACGCCATCACGAGAAAAGCTCCCTGCGCGCGCTCCCAGTATTTAGGAACTTCCAGTTCTCCACAACCCATCAGACATCAGGCTCTTCTCTTGAAGCAGGCCCAGGGCTACTGAGACTGCAACCACAGTGGGCATCCTTTTTTCAAGGATGAGTTGCCCCCGGCTCAGGACTCAATTGCTGTAGCGAAGCAGGGTTTTCAGACAAGCACGTTATCAAACGGAGAAGCCTTCACAAAGGACATCGGCAGCGCAGTGGAAACTCTGAACCTATCGATGACGCCAAATTGCCGCCAACGTGCGGCGGAAAAGTCAGCTGGGTTAGGTTTGGAGAACTGGCCGGCGACTGGGTCTCATTCACACCAGTGGGGCCAGAACGTTGGGGACCTCTCCTAGGCGATGTATCACGAGACTCGGCAACGCGCAGCTCCAAGACGCAGCAGAAGGATTCAACTACTTCAAGAACCCTCGAGAAGGACTTCCTGAAAGGATCTACGAACATGTATCTTTGTCGGCCCCTCAGTTCTTCAGCTACAGAAAACAAAGCACTAATTTCTCATGTTTACAACACCAAAATTTGAGATCCTACTGAGATCTGCTGCCCGTCGGAACGGCACAGTCACCAGGTTTAGCTCAATTAGCACAAGGTGGAGCACAGCCCGGAAATTCCTCAAGACAGGTGACCCGAAAACATTGAGACAATACACAGCAGGAATGCCACAGCGACACCGAGACGCAATGACAATCTAGTTGGACAGTTTTTCACCTTCCAGAGCGAGTTGACAAACCAACAGAGAGAAAGATTGGCCAGCGCAATATGTTTGAGGAACATCCAGCATTGTCTCTTCGTAACAGCAAGGGCGGAGCTTTCGTGGGAACCGAAGATGAGGAGACATTCTAGGTCCTCGCCGAGCAGGACACGTTTGCAGGCAGGAAGCAAAAAAGGGCAACAAAAGGCAACAAGGGCCGTCGCCAACAAGGTGGCTTCAAACCCTTCAGAGCGAGCGACGCAGACGGTAGGGCGCAGCCGACGAAAGCAAGTACGGCGTGTTGGGGGAAAGGCAAGGGAAAGAAAAAGAAAAGAAATGCAAAGCTAAGTATCAGAATCCTCTTGGTGAAAGCAAGGGATATCCGAAAAAGGCAGAAAAGAGAAAGGTCAAGGAAAGCCCAAGACCGCAAGGAAAGCAGCGGAGCAACCCTGCGAATCAGACGGCCGCTGACCTTTCAGAGCCTTCAACGCAACGCTGGTTGGAGTGATAAGGACTGGGAGTTATCGTGGGGTTGGAGTGAGAGCGGCTGGTACTCAAGCCATGAGATAATGATATTTTCCACATCAGGACAGAGAGGCCATCGAGAGTAAGCTGATCCAAGCCGACACCGTCTACCCACAACCTCTCAATCTAGCAACAAAAGTTTTGCTGCCGGCCATAACACAGAAGCCATTCCAGAAGACGTCAATGCCAATAGAGAGACAGCTAAGTTCAACTGGACTTACGACCTAATACTTCTAGTTAGTCTAAGTAGCGTTACTCTTATTGAGTTTGCGTCGATGCTTCATGGTTTTGGATAAACCAGGAACTTGCAGAACACACTCTCCCTGGCAGTGCTAACGAAGCTCTGCCCGAAACTGTCCTAGCCATGCATTGTTTAACGGCAGGGCTTTGAACAGTTCAATTCCTCCAAACAACCTTGGCATTGGCAAAGCCAATTTATGGTTGGCTGATGATTGTTCTTGGGGGCAGCCTTGATGATTGGCAACCTTTTGTCTTCATGACAGGGCTGGTGCGCGCCAGGCAGTCAGGCGTCGGCTTCCTGTACTCTCGGCCCTCATTTTCATCTGCTGTACCAACTGGTTCCCCGTTCCATTTGCCGCGCTCTGATATGTAGCGTTGGCCGTGGAAAGTGTAGTACTGCCAGTACTAAATATGTCCTTGCCAGTACTCAATTTAGTGTTACAGGTACTGAATTTAAGTGTCGCCAGTACCAAATGCCTTGCCAGTACTAGATTTCGTGCCGCCAGTGAATTCACTGCCAGCGCTAAATTTTGTACTGCCCAGCGCAACATGGAGTGTTGCCTGTACTTAACACGGTGCAGACAACGATTGTCACCGTCAAGCAGAAGAACGACTTTCAGGGCGAAGATTTCAGCGACACACCTGGCGCTTGTCATCCTATGGCCGCTCTTTTTGGGGATTCCCCAACATCACTGCAGCCGTGGCATCCATCCGCCAGTCCATGTCGGAATGGTGAGCCAGTTTTGCAGCAGCTGGGCCGGCTTGCAGGCGTAGAGGGGCTGAAGGTGCGGTGACAAGGTAGGGAACGCCTTAGCCACCCATTGTAGCAAGCCCAACAACAGAGAGACCACCTGCGTGTGTGTGGCTGGTTTGTCCAGCTTTTCCTTTGTCGCGCCCCCACCAAGGAGAGGAAAAGCATGAAGACCCCCGCAGCCTTGAGGTCTCCAAGCTTCCGAAGTACAATCGTGAAGTCATCTACAAGCACCATTACCCAAAAAAGTCCTCCGATCCAAGATGTGGAAGGTGAGCCGGGTCAGAGGGGTAACCCTGCTCCAGTAAAACTGGGCTGATGCTGCCCATAGGCTTCCACCAGGTTGAAACGGAACAAGTCCTTGATGGTCGCGGTCATGTACTTCCGCCGATGAGCCGTGCTGACGTGATTTGAAGACGGTTAAGTCATCACCCTGAAGTTGGCAGTGTGGGTCCCATGGCCCTCAACGGTCTTTGGATTGTAGATTGTCCGCAAGCAGGTCCAATGGGTTTTTTGTGGCCATCGCGGCGGAAGCCTCAGCCGACTCCTCAACCAGGATTGCTCCTGGCCACCGTCCGAACAGTTCTAGGCGTCTGGCATGTAGGAGTAGTCGACCCAAGGATGGTTTACCTCCACCGTCACGAAGGATCTTGAGCAGTGGACTGGGGCGAAGGATGCGATGCGTTCTTTTTCTGGTTGAAGTACACCAGCCTGAGCAATCTTGAGCTTCATGTGCCATTTCCAGCGGGCGAGTGCCTTGCTGGAGAACCATTGAGGGTGCTTTTGGTGATCACATCGAAGTCCATTCCAGTCTACCTCCAAGTTGGTCATCACGGCAGTCGGCTTGTTCGAGGGATGACCCAACATGCATTGATCGAACGTGTGTGTCCACATACGGCACAGTGACGCAAAGCCTCTGCATTGGGAGGTAGCCTGCCAGGAGCAGCCCTGTTTGAAGGGTCCTCCGGGCGCTTCAGTAGGAAGGCCGGGGCGAGTGGCCCGCGTAAAGGAGGAGCAACCACATCAGTGCCTTTTGACGCCTGCGAGACTATTTCAGTTGCGGTATCAACTTCATCGTCTACAAGACTATGTTTGTTGCTGCCAGTGTGTCGCTAGTTTCACATAGACATCACGCCCGTTTTCTTCAAGCCAGTACCATAAGATGCAAAGTCTTTTTTGGCACATTAAGCGTCAGCTTTTGCTTGCCACTTCTGTGCGCACATGCGGGCACAGTTGTAACAAGTCTGTACACACCCACGCAAGTACAAAAAGAAATCCAACATGTCCGAGTCACAAAAGGGAGTGACCTTTTGGTCATTTTCGGAATCCACCCTCCTTAATGTAAGAAATGCGAGATTTTCTGTTCGCGTACATGTTTGTAGGTGTATGTGCGTGTGTGTGTGTGTGTAGGTGTGTGGGTGTGTGGGCTTGTGTGTGTGTGGGCTTGTGTGTGGGTGTGTGGGTGTGTGGGCTTGTGTGGCTGGTTTGTCCAGCTTTTCCTTTGTCGCGCCCCCACCAAGGAGAGGAAAAGCATGAAGACCCCCGCAGCCTTGAGGTCTCCAAGCTTCCAAAGTACAATCATGAAGTCATCTACAAGCACCATTACCCAAAAAAGTCCTCCGATCCAAGATGTGGAAGGTGAGCCGGGTCAGAGGGGTAACCCTGCTCCAGTAAAACTGGGCTGATGCTGCCCCATAGGTTCCCACCAGGTTGAAACGGAACAAGTCCTTGATGGCCGCGGTCATGTGCTTCCAATCCTGTGGTCGAGTTTACGCCGATGAGCCGTGCTGACGTGATTTGAAGACGGTTAGTCATCACCCTGAAGTTGGCAGTGTGGGTCCCATGGCCCTCAACGGTCTTTGGATTGTAGATTGTCCGCAAGCAGGTCCAATGGGTTTTTTGTGGCCATCGCGGCGGAAGCCTCAGCCGACTCCTCAACCAGGATTGCTCCTGGCCACCGTCCGAGTAGTCGACCCAAGGATGGTTTA